CATTTTATTCATTCAGGGTTATATTTTACTTTACATTTACATCAAACATATCTTGAAATAGATAAACTTAAAAAAAAAGAATAAATAAATCAATCTTGAATCAAATATTCAGGATCACTCACACATGCATGGACCAAGTGAAAAACAAATATATAAAATTAAACTATCATTCTTTGATGGAATATATATTAGTAATTTATTAATAACAATATCTAATTCTGTATTTGATTCTTGGATAAAACACAAATAATTAAACTGCTAAGCTGGAATTGACTCATTTAAAAAAGAAGTTGATGCTGGGAGTTTTAACCTTTGAACAGTTTGGAAGATCATAAAAGATAAAACAGTGTTTAAATTCTATCCATCCATCCATCTATCCATTATCTGACCCGCTTGTCCCGAGTGGGGTCACGAGGGGTGCTGGTATGTTTGAATTCTTTAAAAGTTATTATTTTTATGTGTTGGTGGTTTACAACAGAAGTAAAAATGGAGTGGTAGGTTTAAATTTCTAAACCTTTTCCTTATTTAAAGACCAACATTATAGTCTATATATAAGTGTACTTAATTGCCAGAATTTACAGATAGAATTATTTAGTGTAATAAATAATGATAAAAATCAAGATTTCAAATTTTGTCAATTTTGCCAATTAATAGCATAAAAACAAACTTCTCATGTAAAGTTTGACAAAGGATTGCTTTTATTTCTCTTAATAGAATGATTGTTAGCGATAAAAAACTACATCAGCACAATAATAAAAAAAAGTGTTTAAAACAGGGTAAGTATGTAGATTTTAGGGTAACTATGTTTAATGCACGCCTAAAGGGTTTTATTTTCAAAAGGTGATTTCAAAAAGACAATTGAATCTGACCCACTTCAAAAAGATACAACTTGATTGAAAAATATTTTTAAAATACTTGCTTTATCATAACAGCAACTTGATAACAGCTACAAGATAAGACATTATTAGAGAATTCTGTTAAATGAAAATCTTCAGCATGTGTGCCGGAAATTGATTTAAAAACATAAAAATTTAACGAGAAAAGTATAACATAAACAAATAGAATCATACTGCTTTAAAGCAAATATATGAACATGAACACATTTTCTCAAATGAATTGAATCAGAAGCAACAGCTTCAAAAAGCCGATGCATCAGTGCTCTTTTATAGCGTATTTTGTTGGAGCAGCATTTGCTCTACAGCTGAGAGGAAGCAGTTGGATGAATTCCTCAGGAAGTCCAGCTGGATCCTAGGATGCCCCTTCGACCTTGTGATGCTTGTGATGTTTGAATGTGTTTTATGCACATAGAATGATTCATATTTTGTGTCATACTGTGTTAAATGTTTGCAATCATTGATAGGGGTGTGCTATTATTAGTCTTATATTGTAAATTTGCCCTGTACAGGTTTCTTATTCAAATTTAATACAGTTTATTTATGTATTCATTTATTATTATTGTTATCATCACGTTTTTTTTTTTTTCATTTCACTTTGCCGTTGGTGTATTATATATAAGTATTTTACTATAGAATATTCTATTTTGTTCTCTCCCTTCTCAACTTTTCTAGAGAATGTTTGTTTCATGTTTCCCCCCCAAAAAACATATGTTCTCCAACTGAAGACGTTAAAGTGTTGTCTGCATGTCTGCATTTTTTGTAATGAAGCAGCGAATGCATGATGGGAAACTGCCTTAAAGCATTTAATTTTAGCTCTTCAGAGTCATTTTTGGACACACAGGGAGCCATGGTAAAGATATGACACAATGAATGATGTGACCCAATTTCCTGCATTCGTACCAGGCACAGCAGTTTGTTAAATAAGCCACAACTGTGACCTCTTAAAAACTTTAAACAAACGGAAGTCACAAAGGAAGAATGAGCCAACTGCAAAATCCCATTTTCACCTACAACCCCTTCTTTTCCTTTATATTCTGTTTTATAAATTCCCAAATGTTTAGAGGAAGTCAAGGGGGAGGGAGCTTATTTTTCTTTAAAAAGAAAAAAATTTTTAGAGCTTGCATATTAAAAAAGAAATATTTCTGCAAAACATTTTTCTCTAAAATTATTTTAGGGTGTATTCTGTTGCATAATCAAATCCTTTTCAGGTATTCATCATAAAATAAAAATACAAAAATTGAAAGATTTCTTATCACAAAAAAAGAAAAATAACACATCACAATTTCCATTTTATTAGTCTGTAACCCACTTCTCTGGTAGATCAGGGTGACTTTCTGTGTAAACAGCTTAAGCCTGGTGCCCCTTGGGTAATGTTAGAAAACCATGATTGATTGGAGGTGGAAATGGAGATAGAGGGTAGCAGGATAGAAAACCTGGTGGAGCAATATTTAGTTGCTAAATTACAAATAATATTTGCATAAAAATATGTTTTAACATTACGTAAATATGATATTTCACAAAAAAAGGAAGATTTAGCTTAATGAATTACAATGCAACATGTTCCATCGTTACCTGGTTCCTTTTGGATTAAATAAAATCGAATACTGGCATCTGCAGCAGGCTTGGTTACTCTTAGATAATTTTACAACTATAATAATTGCTCTATACACATGGGAGATAGCTCATATCAAATACTATATTTCTGAAAATTATTAACCAATTTTACAATAAAATAATATAAATTTTTCTGATTTTCCATTAAAGGTATAGAGAATATTTTATTTCCGGGTGGATCATCTAGATAAGTGGTCCTCCTAATTGTCAGTCATTATAGTGATATGTTTACGTAAGGCCATCCTACGTGCTCGTGTCTTTTTCTGCCCATGCGCATTTTCAGGTGTGTATGTGTGGTGTGCAACGGTTTAAGACATTGAAGCTCACCTTTCTCACCATGGTTTTTTGAAAATGGCCAAGGGTCATAAGAGAAAAAGTGTCTATGAGTTGTATGAGAAGAACAGAAAGGCCTCAGAAGAGGTGGATATATCCCGGAATGCTTTGCACCAAGAGTTCTCTTTGCAAAGTATTTTGGTTTTTGCTGTCACAGCTGCCAACTGTCGCTATAGGCTGTCGCAACCCGACAGCCGCGCCTAATAAGAAAGATGGCACAGGAGGAGGAGTTACCTGACCAATGGGGAGCAAAAAGCAGTGATCATCTGTCCGAATGGTCATTAACTCAGGTCGCTATAAAGTGCATTATATACTGTAGTCCCAGCTCTAAATACTGATTGAGGGATTTAGGAGTTAGAGCGGACGTTTGGACACAGTAAGCTTGTATGAGCTATGAGAACAGGAACTTTAAACAGAGCATGCACGAGGAGAAAAAGGCTTGTGGATGCTCTCGCACGTGGAGAGGATGGGTCATCCTCCACAATACCTTGAAACACCAAGTGGTGAAAGTTGACATGAGCATAGGTTTAGCCTACCACTCACCAAGAAAATGCTGAAATATCACAGTGAAAGCACCAATGTGTGAAAAACAGAAATGTGGTTTTTTTTTAAGCACAGATAAAACATTATTTCAACCGTTGTTAATGTGATATGATATTTGCATATTTAGGCTGCATTGAGTGATAGACCACTTAAATTTGAGTGTTGATCATAAGTCAATGTGCACAGAATGTGCAAATAGACTTTCCCTGGATATCACTGTAGACCAATTACAGCTTCTTCCATCAGAAAAAATAAGTTGTCGAGAAAGAAAAGTAATCAACTAGAAGATTTTATATACAGTTTTATGGAGCTGTTATGGCATGGATTGACATCACACGTCTTTATCAGCGAAGGTGTATGTTAACAGCCAAAAAACACTTTTCTGTTGCTTTTTTCTAACCTTAACTAAGCAAACAGAGATTAAGAATAAGATAAACCCAAACATCAAACCAAAGACATAAACAGAGAAGGTAAAATAGAAAAACATCGATATGAGTGGTGACATCTGTTATAGACTGAAAAAATTCATATACATTTAATCTATTTGTTCATGGTTACTTTAACTTTACTCTGGTATTGCTGTTTTTCACTTTGGTTTCAGAGAGCCTTAAAGTGTGAAAAGTATACATGAAAAGGCATCAATCACAGTGATGAAAATCTAACAGAATCAAACAGGAAAAGGTGCTTAGTATCACATTAGTTTCAAATGAGGGCTATATAAGAAATCGAGATTTAGCTTAGAATGGATTCACAGACCTGTTTAAAAGCACAGCTGAAGGTGATGATAAAAAAAAATACAAATAAATAAATAAACAGAACCTTAAAAAAACATTAAAGAAGAACAAAGGCTAAACTGTTTTTTTCTCTTTTTGGCATTTTGTCAGATAACTTTTTGTTCTTTCACCCCTTACTAGAGAATTTCATTATCAGAAGTCTGCATGCCTCTGTGTTCATTGTAAAATGTTAATACCAACAGTCGCTGCAGGCTAAAACTTCACTGAGCTTTATGTTAGTGACGCAACTTCAAAATGTGCTTCGCATATCTTGATATTTCTCCCCGCTGTGCTGCTGCAAATGCTTTGAAGCTTTTATAATAATGAAGAGGTTCTTACCTCTGATTAAAGAGACAAAAATGTAACACTCGTTAGGATGTGAAGGAGACTTCCAATTTAAGGTTTCTATGGAGGGGATCTAAAAGGCGTACAGCAAATTTCCACACAACGGTCTTTCTGTTTGTTCTTCCAAGGTTGACCTGATAAGACTTTTTCAGATTCTATTCCCCAGAATATCAAGATTAGTTTATGATTTCCTCACTTAGAATTATGCCCTAAAGGCATTCAGCAGGGCTTCAGAAGTGGTTTATCATAAGCACAGTGATCTACAAAAGCAACCCAGATAAAAAAAAAAAAAAAAAAAAAAAACTCCTACTGTTCATCACAAGAAGCATATCATTCTCATTAAAACACCTACATCTTTAATATGAACTGATTTCTAAAGCTTCTAATGTTTTTCCAGCTCTTTGTTGTTTTGTTTTGTTTTGTTGTTTGAGCTTAAACCAGTTTTGCAGCATTTCATTATACTGTAGCATCAGTTAGATCACAGAGACCAACTCACACTCTGGCCCTGCGGTGGCCGTGGCGTTTACGTCTGCTTCCTTTGATGCAGCCGTTCCTGTCTGCAATGTCCGCCTGTGTGTCAGCAGCTTTCCGATCATCTGCCTGAAGCAGGCAAGATGCTGTTGGTTCTGAGCTGTGCAACAGAAAAAGAAAACAGAAAACACACACTTTGAGACACTCTTCAGTAAAATATAAATTTTTTTAAAGGTGCCCACATACTTAAAACATCGTTCAACTGGGAAGAATATTGTTTAACGTGCTTTATAATTTTCTTTATGCTGGCTGAATGTTTTATTTCCCAACCTTCTCCTCCTGGCAGCTAATCTCCAGGAAAAACTGAGGTCAGTGATTTACAAGTCAAACTCCTGTCAGCTGGAACCTAGTTTCATGTTTCAGCTCCCTTGGCATTTAAGTATTTTTTTAATTTCCATGTAGTGATACAACTTATAGCTAGAGAATAAATTATCCTTGTCGCTACACCGCTTTTTTCTCTCATACATAAAAAATAAATACTAGATTCCTACTGCTTTTTTTTTTCTTCAGATGGCAAAGCAATGTTCCCATCCATTAAATGTTTTTACAGTATATCTGGCCCTCTGCTTTATTTGCTTTTCCTCTCTAGATATAGGAAATGAAACTGACTGAACTGTTAAACAGATCAATAATCATCCATAAGAATGTTTTGTTTGGCATTTTCAAATTAACCTTGTAAATGCATGGATTTCTCAGAATACTCCAGTTTATAGTGCACATTAGGTTCACGGAGAAAAGAAATCCTAATCTGCTGGCATGCATGCTTTCCTGTCCAGTGTGTCTGTATTTGCCCTGTGATGGATTGATAACTTGGGAGTACCCCGCAGCTGTGCTCCAACCGTCCTGCAAGGATCAGCGGGGCAGCGAAAATCAATGAGAGGTTAAGCAAATTATCTCCTGCTTCTAAATCATGCTGCAACAACCCTTCCAAACAACAATCTTCATCTATAAATGACTTGATAAATTGAGTGATTTGATGTAAGCTTGCAGCTAAAGCCCTGATAAGGATTCTCTGTTTTAGTCATGAGAGATTTGAGCGTAATTACAAATTCTCCTCTTTGGCGAGTGGCTCCCGTCTGATTGTAATGAGAAGATAATCAGAGCAAGAGATTAGTCCATCAGCACCGTTTCCTTCACTTCCCGCTGCAGCGAGCAGGCAGGAGCCGTCGCTTTCCATCTTCCTCACCTTCATTTTCAGGGGCCTTTCAGAGTCAGAGGAAGTGCCCTCTGACAGGGATCTAATAATGTAAAACGGCAGACTGCGTGCTTCGACATGATCGAGTGTGGGAAAGGTGTTAGGGGAGATAAGACAGCCACCACAAGGATGATTAGTCTGATCAAGGAGGCTGATGAGGAAGACAACCTTTAAACAAACTGATGATTGGACAAATTTCTCCTTGCATAGAGCCAAATAAACATAATTTCACTTTGTCCTCAAGGAGGTCAAAGATTACATCATGAATATTTGAATTATTATTTAAATAGGTGACAGAAATTATTAGCAGCTCATTTATAAATAGGAAACTAAATAAAGACACATTTTAAGGGATTTTCCTGAAAACCCTTAGATGTGATTACAATTTTTTTTTTTCTTTAGTGCCCCAGCAGCTTTGGTAATATTATTTGAAAAAGAGTTACTAGGTTTAGTTATAATTTACTTGTCCAAAACACTAAAGGAGTTAATAACATGATCAAGCTCAATCAAAGTAACTAGTTACCAGGTGAAGTAGCTATGCAGGTAGTCTATTTTCTTAAATGTACATGGATTCTGATTACTTTCAAAGATTAGATACAACATGTTTTGAATGATTAAATATAAATCTACTTTAGGTATTAATTCAGTGTTCCATTAATAAAAATAACAAAATATCTGAACGTTGTGTCCAGGGACATATACTGTACTATGAAAAATATGCTTTCCAAACCTGTGGATACCCTAACTGGGCGTCAAATCAGTAAGGAAATCCAAAAGACATGCATAAGAACATAATGGTGAGAAGAATAAACGCAAAAACATTGCAATCCCATATGATGCTGTAGTCTCTGAAAAACTCAAGAGTATTTTTAAACACAAAATCCCAGTACATTTCAAACTAAACAAGACCCCTAAACAGAGACTAGTGCATCCTAAAGACAAAACCCCCAGAACAAATATGAGCGGAGTGGTGTATGCAGTGAGGAATGCTCTGATCTTTATATTGGAGACACCAAACAGCCTCTCCACAGATGCATGGCTCAAAACAGATGGGCTACCTCCTAAGGACAAGACTCTGCCGTCCACCTACACCTTAAGGACAAAGGACACTGGTTTGAGGACAAAAATGTTATTTTGGATAAAGAAGGCAGTTGGTTTTAAAGGGATGTGAAGGAAGCCATTTATGCTAAGAGAGAAAAACTAACCTTAAACAGAGGGGGTGGACTCAGGTTTCAGCTCTCAAAAACCTACAACACAGCGACAGAGCTGATTCCTTCTACCCATCACTATGCAGGGGACCAAAACATCTCTCCTGGTCACCCAGGCCAACAACGACCTCAACGACTCCCCATCACTAAGGGGTGGACCTTTTTTTTCTTCTGTTTAATTTGCATGTTTTCTAAACCAAAACAAGGCTTTTGTTTGTTGCCTCTCTATAAGCCTCGAATTCAAGCCCTACTCCAGACATTTTGAATTGAAAAGGGTTCCTGGATGGGAAGACAAAGTCCAGTGGTTTGTTTTTTATCTTTGTATGAATGATGATGATCTGAAAAAAACAAAATTGAAAAAATAAAGCTCTAAACAATAATATAAAACACAATATTAAATAAATACCAGCGTAGAAAATACTTTGTTAAAAGTTCAAACCGTTCAATAAAGTATATTAACCCCTAGAGGGGGAAATGTGTTTCCCACCATCAACACATACAGTACATTCTCAATAAAACACATAAAATAACACATAAAGGAGCATTAAAAAGACTTTAGTCAAATTCTTTGTTTGCACCCACAAACAAGGCCATTAAAGTCAAGAGTGATAGGCGCATTACGCCTCCTTAACCATTCAGCCTTACATATGCCACTATCTCAGCACCCCTTCTCTAACACTGCATTGGGAAGCAAAGGCTGTTATCTGCTGTAGCACAGACTGCACACTTACTCCAAATTGTTAGTAATGTAATGCCGTTACCCAAATGAGAATCTAATTAAATAGATTACTCCTTACTGAAACAATAAAACAGTTACTAATGGGCTAAATATCTAATGCTGTTACTCCCAATATTCTGCATCAGCTTTTACAAAAGAATAACTCGAAACACGTCAAGGACAGTTGAATGGACTGCTGTCTGGTGCCATTACTGTAACTGGGGGTTTGTTTCATCTAAGAGGAAAAAGACTAGTTTTTTTTTTTTTTTTGCAAAGCAATAAAAAAAACCTGCGAATGGATATATTCTTTTCCAGTCACGAAACGGTCAACAACATGTATCTCTCCCTCCGTATTGAACTTAATAAAGGTGGGGACTAATGTTATATAATCTTCCAGAAAATAAATAATTATGCAGATATCGATTTTCTAAAATAGAAAAAAAGGTTACATTAGAGGTTTTTTCAGCACCTATGTGCATATATTATGTAAAACCATCATACTGGTCAGATCAGGTCACTGGTCACACAAGTTTTGCGAAAAAAAAAGGAAATCAGACAGTCCTTTCTCAAGCTACACCCGAGCTCCTACTGGGGTTTAATAAAGCATTTTCAGGTCAGAGAGATTGATTAGTTTTTCTTTTAAGTTTCTAACCCCAGAGTAATTACTTGAGTAGGCTAAAGAACTTAAAAGTTATCAGGAGACAACCTTAATGTGAATTCAAATCTCCCTATGTGGTCTACCATTGACTACATCTGAAAGCTGTGCAATGGAAATGATTAGTCATCTGCTCCTGCTAAGCAGTGTTGACCAGAACTTTACACACTTATTTCCCCTGTAAATAATATTATTTTGAACCGTTCTGACTCTTCACCCTTGCAAAATTAGTACATCCCCGGATCAAAGGGTGGCACCAAACAAACAACCTGATAAAAACCAAATTTAGACCACAAACTGATGAAAAAAATACATAATAAGCCTTTATAGAATAACATTTTGGTAAAATCTTTTGTTTCCATCATGTGGATGATTTATCTACAGGGATTTATATTGACATCCTTGTGAGGAATTGCCTATTTATTTATTTTTTTATTCTTTTCTCATTCTTCTCTTCTGAGTTGACAAGCCTTTATCTTCTTTTTGGCACGGTAATAAGCATGCCTGTGAGTGGCGTTTGACTGGTAATCCAGCATGCTGAGCATGCTTGCTGGGCCAGTGAGCTTTCGGACAGTACATCTTTTTTCATGTTAACCTACTGGCCCATAAACATTCAATTCGATTATTTTTCTGAGGTTGGAATGGCTGAATCACTTCTCTTAACCTACCCGCCTCACCATTGTGTGCTTTCAACCTGCCAAAGGTGGAAATTAAACAAACATTTAATCACTATAAACCACTTCTGCCCCAATGGACATTAAACAAAACCAGCAACAAGAGGAAAAACAGGACTGAAGGTAGACAACTTACGCTAGTCGAGATAGGCAATAAAAATATAAGAAATTATAAGTTTTGCTATAATAACAAACAGCCAAGGAGCCTGTGGCATTACTACACTTGTATGTTTTTATCAGCATCATTACTGAGTCAGACTTGTGTTTTGTAACTTCTTCATTTTTATTCAAGTACAGCAAACATATTGTAGCACTGTTACTGAACCATGGCTGAAATTCAATACATTCTATATTAGGAATACTTTAATTCATATGAAAAATAAGTAGGCAGCATAAGTGGTATTTAGCATCAGAATTTATATCTAATATAGCAGACTTTAAAACCATGTAGTTTAATGCAACAAGAAATATCAGTAATGAGTTTAATTAATTTTGTGAAATCAAACACACATTTGTTTTGTGTCAGGCAGGGAATTTCCTGTGCAGGAAAAAATTCATGATTTGTAATTGCATTATTCTAACTTCAGATAACACTGTGTTTCAAGAGTTATTCAACGTTTCCTGCGGCACATTGCTTGTTTTTTATTATT